TTCATTCAACTGCTTTTAACTCTTGAACTTTCTCACGCTATTTCCATGCCAAAGGTACTGTTGTAAAATAAAAGGTTTCCTCTTTCAAACAGGAGTAAATTTAAGAAATTCCACTAAGAAGGAAGGAAGTTATGATTTTTTGAAAATCTGGCGAACGAACTTTGTGACCTACCTAATATATTAGGTTGGTGCAAAAGTTCTTGCGCACGATTTTCAAAAATTCATAACTTCTGATTTTTCCAACCGATTTGACTGCTTTTACTTTTATGTGAAAGGGTAAGTCATGCTCTTCATAATGACATCTCAGTGCTTAGGTTTCATAGATACGAGCGATAGAAGAAAATTGGTCAAAATTTGAATTTTTCTGTGTAGGGTCATAAAAAAACGGAAACTTGCAAGAAAAATCGGAGCAGTCAGTATTGTAGGATCTTGTACCAGCTCTTTCTAATGGTGCAAAGTTTGCGTCGATTGAGCGTCTCTATCAAAGTTATGATTTTCGAGCAAGCAATACAAAAGGGCGATTTTGATTTATTTTGGCATTTTTCAGGAAAATCATAACTTTTGGTAGAGAGCTCAATCGACGCAAACTTTGCACCATTAGAAAGAGCTGGTACACAGGAACCTACAATACTGCTACTGCTCCGATTTTTTCTTGCAAGTTTCCCGATTTTTTATGACCCTACACAGAAAATTCAAATTTTGACCAATTTTCTTCTATCGCTCGTATCTATGAAACAGATGATCATTAGCAAGCAGCTAAGATGCCATTATGAAGAGCATGAGTTAATCTTTCATATAAAAATAAAAGCGGCCAAATTGGTTGAAAAATCGGAAGTTATGAATTTTTGAAAATCGTGCGCAAGAACTTTTGCATCAACCTAATATATTAGGTCGGTGCAAAAGTTTTGTCAGTTTTTCAATTTATTCGGCAAACACGCTAGAATGAAGATTAACAAACACTTTGAAATGTATCCAATGCAGAATTTCATCCTCTTTCCAGCTGCTGGACTCCCATTGTGTTTCGTTGCGAGATTGATGAGATATATCTTGGAAATCACAACCACTCGTTTGTACTATGTCCAGATTTCGCTATTTTTCAAAATTTTTGTATTGAGACTTTCGGAGGAGCCATAATAACCAGCAGATAGAGCAAACTTTTTGCCAACAGAAGCAATTTTTTTGTAGTCCTACGGCTTTTTTTCAGAATTTCTACGATTTATTTTTCGAAGTGACCAAATTTTACATTCAGCCTATTTTAGCCTCGTAGAACATAAAATGTTAAACACTTCAGTCACCATTCGATGCAACTCTTTCTCTTACTTTTAACACTTGTCTTTTTTGTCGAGACAGGCGAAATTTTTGAGGTACAATCGCAGCAATTCTCAATTTCAGGAATGCGCACTGACGTAAACCTATGTTTCAAAAATCCTCATAATTCAAAGCGAAAATGGCTCATTTACTTTGTAATGGTGGCGATAGTAATAATCGAGTAATATAGTAATAATAATATATATTATATATATATATATCGATAACAAAACTGTTTTGAAGTGTAGCTCATTTTCACGTTAATTTGCTAACGCTTTTTCTCAAGTTCTTTTCAACTTCTTCAGGTGGTATATCTTCGTGATAAATCGAAACCTGCTTTTTCATACTTGATAAGAGAGCCTTTTCTGTCAATCGGTAAATTTCTATCGCGCTTTTTACCTGATAAAGCTAGAGTTGGGAAAAAATTCCTTCCAAAGTTATTAAGGCATACCACTTCCTCCGATATATCCACCTCTCCAAATCGATCTGCTCCTTCCTGGGTAGGATCGCGCTCCTTACTTGGACCAAGTTCTTTTGTTAGGCCTGAAACAACCAGTTCCGGACAAAACATATTTGAGTTCAGAGATTAATAAGTTCTAAAATTCTCCCTCTCTCATCGATTGACAGGTCATAGCTTATATGCATGTAGGCCTACATTGCGCCTACTTGGTCAAAATCGCGTTCGTTCCAATCGCGTGCAATCGTACACCAATAAACTTTATTTGTTAGCTCTCACTGCTTTAACGACGATTTTCTTCCCCTTATTTTGATATATACATCTACCAGGTGTTTGGAGTGGTTCTGTGTACGAAAAGAGACTTTATGTATATCAGCAAAAAGATTGCCCTCGAAAGGACTCGAATCCAAAAGACTATCGGCTCTGCAGTCTTGCACACTATCCACTAGACCACACGTAGCTATCAGGGGCGTGGCGGCGAGGCTCGCACTTATCGTCGGCCCGGGCGAGCTCGTGAAATATCCTCAAAACTTTCCTGCCAAGAACGCAAGCAGACACCAAGCACAGAATTGAGCTCAGTGTACTGAGGAATCTATGTTGGTGTAGATCTCGTCTTGAAAATCCATGACCATCTGGTATTCTCCCCTTGTAAGCGGGGATGAGGGGGTTTGAGGCGGTTTGAACCAATTTGTAGGGTTGAGATGTAGATGCTTATGTAAAGAAAAGAAAGAAATAAATGAGGGAGGGAAATTTTATGACCTTTCCTTTCCCAAACCACCTCAGGTGGCTTCCAGGATTGAAAGCCATCTTACTCCGAAAAAGTTGAGCACCTTTTGTTCATATAATTTTTTTTCATAATTCTTCATACACAGTCTTAATTTCTCATTGTCCATCTACACACCAATTTTGGTGTCATTTCATTTTCATTTTGCTGTAAACAAGCCCTCTGTTCATTTGCAAAAGCATGCCGGCAGCGTGCGGGCTGCACGCGGACTGCAAAAACAATATCTCTTTTGCTTTTTCTTTCAAAAACGATGTCCAGCTTGCTTGTTTAGCCATCTGTGGCCGTGCCCTGGCTTCAAAGGCCATCTTGTGAAGCTTGTTTTGCTCTATCGAAAGACGTTTTCATTTCATCTTCACTTTCATTGAATACGCTCGAGGCGTACCATATGAAAAAACAAACAATGTAGTTTATTAGTTTTTACACAAAACACGAATAGCAGCAGAACATCATATGCTTCAAGCCGACTTCATACAACTAAAGAAGAACGACTTAGCTTGCAAGAAGACTGCTGGATATTACGAAATGTCAATAATGAGTTATAATCCACAGAGATGGAACCCATGCCCCCGCGTTAGCCAGCAAACGATCTTAAAGTATTCAAAGAAGTAAACGACGGCGGGGTAAGCACCCACCGGCCTGCCGGGGAGAGCAAACTCCATGAGCATTGCTACATGTGCAAAACAGAATACTATCACGTACTGCACATCGAATATGAATCTAAACGAATTGTAATCTAAGGAGATGGTACCCCATGCCCATTCGTTTGCTGGCCACAATCTCAAAAGATTTCCAAGAAACAAACCGGAGATTATAGTTCAACCAGTTTGCCGAGGAGAGCCCAACCGAAGTAAGAATAAGCATAATATGATCTTCAAGCAATCAAAGCAAGCAAGCTGTGCGAAACAGGCTAAAATATAGATGTGACCAGGCTTGAACCACATGATGAAGAGAACAGTGTTGATAAAAGGCTCAAAAGCAGTCGAGTCCAACATATGCAAAGTTATAAATTGGCTGCTAGTCAGTGCATATTCGTAACCCAATCAAGCTCATTGCACATGTCTGATTGCAACCGCGCAGTCATAAAAGAAGGGAAGTAAGATACGTTGAACCCGCAAAAAAAATCATTCAATCTTCTTTTTTTAAGCTCTCTTCTGAGAGAGGAACTATCACTGGCATGCCAAAAGTTCGTGTGGTAATTCTTGTAACATTTTTGATGTGCGAACAAAAAACTCCTGCTCAAATAAAAGAACGAAATCGTTGTCGCCCACCGAAGTGACGGAAATAAATAGAGAATGCACTAGTCCTTCCATGACTAGGTCTGAAAACCCAGTACTTGGAAGGCCTCAACCTGGTTTCACCCCTAAAAATCCTGAAAGCCAATGTGATATCATGGACAACTCTCCGATATGTAATGCTTTCAAGATCTAGTTTTCAACCTCTCTTCATAACTAGGAAGTAATCGGGGGTAAGCTGGATTAGGAAAACAGCGATAGAAAAGCAGTTTTGTGAACACTTTTTGAACCTTCTCCAATGCCTGCTTGTGCTTCCTCAGGGAGGGGCTCCAAACTTGAGTCGCATATTCGAGAACAGGAATAACAAGGGCTTTGTAAAGTTTCAATAAAAATTTTTGATCAGTCGATTTGATGTTTCTGAAGATTGTGTATAAATGAAAAAGCACGAAAGGTGACGGAGGCAATCTGTAGATCCGGTTTCAACCTCGAATCTATCAAAACTCTTAGATCTTTGACGAATGTTTTGTTAATTACTGCTATTCCATCGTGCTCATAGTGAAAACGGAACTTTTAGCAATGTTAACAGAAATATCCCACTTTGAACACCAGGCAATCATGAGATCAATAGAATGTTGTAGAGCTTCTTGGATCTCATAGCGATTTTCATTGCTGTATATTCTGTATATTTTTATGTCGTCTGCATACATAAGTACATGAATTCCGGGGTGAGTCTTCAACATCTGGGGTAAATCAGCAGAATAGACAGTAAACAGAAGGGGAGGCAGAACACCTCCCTGAGGAAGCCCACTAACGCAAGGAAAACGCTCAGAGTGTTCATTCCCAACGCGGACAGTCATATGTCTGGATTGGAGAGATATGAATTGAGCCAATCAAGTAAGGCGCCTCTGACCCCATAATGCTCAACTTTGTACAGCAATTTAGCATGACACTTATACGATCGAACGCTTTGGAAAGATCAAAGTAGATAACGTCCAACGACATGTTAACAATATAAGAAGAATATGATCAGGAGAAAAAAATGATACAACCTAATATTAAAAACATCTAATCTTATCATAATTCACCACATGAATTTTTAACAGCTAATGCTTATTGATTTTTAAAAACAATACAAATACTCTACATCTTGTTAAAAAAAACAGTATTCAGTGAGCCTAATGGAGAATGGAAGAAATCTACGTTTAAGCCTACTCCGATTATGTCATCGTATCTCTTAGCCGTTTTTGTATCTGAGTTCACTTACAACGAAGCACGCACAACCAGAGGAGTTAGAGTAAGTTTCGCTGTTTCTAACAGCACAATTGCTGCTCAATCTATGCATTTCCTCGAATAGGTTCGGTTGTGGTCAGCTCCTGGCTCAGAATCTCAAAGAGATTACGGACTTAAAGTAGCAACGACTGCCCTAAGGACATTCGAAAAGTACTTTGGACTGAATGAAGTTATGTTAAAGCAAGGTGAAATTAGCTTTTGGCATCAATTGGCAGAAAAAGTGACGTCAAAAATGTCAAAAAATCAAGCAATAGTATGTTTCATGTTTGTGCATAATTGTGTCTTGATCTCTGTCTTCTACTCTGATATGAAATTTAGAGAAGTTTGAAAACTTCACAGAAACTCCTACTGACTTTTTTTTCGAAGGGATGGACGCAAGACTCGGCACACGTAGCTTACGGCCCAGGCCGCATATCGAGGTTACAAAAGGCAATGTGAATATCGCTTTTGCGGGATCCGGGGCGAAGTCTCAAAAATTTTATTATTGCATATTTCTGAAATTGCCAATTGCAACACCGTTTCGATAGCGGCAATTTTTTTCAAGTACACTCGATTCCATCTATCAAATCGTATACAAATTGACCGAGTAGAAAGAGTTCGAGCATGGCCAACTTTACCCCATCAACCCATCAAATTTTTGCAGCCATGCCCTTTACAAGTAAAAGTTATCCCAACGTTAATGTCTTATAAACTTTCATTGCCTCCCCCCCTCCCTCCCCCCCCCCCCCCCCCCTCCCCCCCCCCACCCGTTCCCACAGCCGCACCCCCTTTTAATCCACCTCCTCATTTTCTGGAGACGTCGGAAGTTCTCAGCACTGCCCTAAGGTTCCATTCTCCGTAAAAGCAACAATAGCCTTTTCGTAATCCCGCTCCAATATGCTTTCCATGGTAGCGCGGGAATACGAAAAGGCTCTCTGAGATAAACAAAAGGCTTGTTCACGGCGAAGGGGAAATGATGATCCAAGATAGGTGTGTAGATGAGCATTGGGATGTTGGAACTATGTATGAAAATTTATGAAAAAATTATGTGGACGACTATATTCGCGGCCGAACCGAATAATCGATCATTCGAACAAAACATTCGAATATATTTGCGTTCAAAATTGGATATATGGAGTTCTTGCATTTTCGAATAAAGTTCGAATTTCGAATTATCAAAAAACGAGGATTCGAAAACGAAAACTCGAATAGTCAAAAAACGGAGTTTCGAAGAAAAATCAAAAACTCGAACTATCAAAAAACGGGGTTTTGAATAAATCTTATTCGATTGTTTTATTCGAATTCGTACTCAAATGAAATCTGTAATCAGATTAATCGAGTTTGCTGCAGAGTCAACTGCTCAACATCAAACCCGCTTCGTTTGCGTTTTTTTCCCGCAAAACTCGATGCGAATTTGGATCACAAATTGAAAAAATCAATTCAGTTATTATTTGTTGTTTTATGCAGCAATTTGTTCGTTTTGCAGCCGTGATCAGCTTTGAATTGCATGGGAACTTGTATTCCCCGAACTGCTTGAAATAGGAAAAAATAGGTGTGCATTTTGATCGATTGCTTCTTTAATCAATATAAAAGCTCGCACTGCTACTGGCACCAAATCAGCAAAAAAATAACTATCAAATTCAAGCTCATAACCCGAGTTCATATACTGAAAGTGTGTTGACATGCCTACTTCTCTTCCTTTGCATTGTTCATGCTTTTTCCGCAAAGGTTCACACCAGTGAGCGTTCCGTCAGGGAGTTAGTGGAGTGGGGAGGCTGAGAGTCGTACGAGGGGGTACATGACGGTGCTGATTATGAATAACGATCTACTTTATCGATTTTACCGATTTTTGGAAAATATTGAGCTACGAAGATAGGAGTTGGTATAGTGGTGTGAGAGTGCTGATTATGGTGGCAGACTTTAACGACGGCGCACGAGTTTTTGCATTACAGCCTTGACTAGTTCACGGCCATCTTTGCTAGTCCACAGAAAGCAGCTCTTGATGGTGGAAATAACCCAGAAAGAGAATTTTTGATTTCTAAAATCGTGTAATTCACTGGGTGGTGATCCTAAAAAGAGAAACGAAAGAACCGTTGATAACGAGTAAACCCAAATTAACTGGAGGCGGAGCCCAGCGCACCGCGTACGGTAGTAGCTGTCGGCTGGCGCATGCTATCGTTCATAAAGTCACTCACTCCTGATTATGAATGAGTCGGCTAGGACGGGTACGTCAGCAAGTTTTAGATATGTTTTATCTGAATAATTGATTATCGAATATTCATTCGAAATTCGACTCTTAATGTTCGAATGTAATCGGCGTGCATTCATTTATTCGATATTTTCGATTTTCCGATTCGGGATTCACTCACTCGAAAAATTTTGAATTTCGAATTTATTCAATATTCTTGATTTTTCATTTCCGAAATCATTCAACAATCGTTTATTCGTAATTATCATTTTAAAATTTATTCGCTATCATCATTTAATGAAAAATTTCGAACTCCTCCAAGTATAATGTGAACTAATTGCGTGGCAACTTTTTCGGAGTCACAGCCAATATCGATTACGTACTCCTTTTCGCATACGAACTACGCATGCGCAACGCAAAAGCCCTGCGTGCGGATCTTCAGTAGGCCAATTTGAATGCCCAACCCATACGTACGCGAACGTGACGCAAAGCTCACTGCGCTTACGGAACAAGGAGCACTTGGTTTACACTGACTGTAGGTGACTCACCTGGGAAGCCACTACAGCATGCTGCCAATTTAAAGAATACGAACATCTTTGGTTCAGCTACCGAACTTTTGATGTTGTTGTAATTAGTTCTATTTTTCTTTGCTTTCGTTTGCTTCGTTCATGTGCGTTTCATAGGGGATGTCGTATTCATGTTGCGAAGTCAACGGACTCTTCATATTCAAAACATTGCCAGAGCCAGTGATGCCGAGCCCTGGATGGACGAATCGACGTTTCATCTTGTAACAAAAGCTCTGCCACGTGCAACAGTTACACAATTTATGTCTCGATTGTGTGTGCTTGTCAGGCCAATACGGTTAAGGGGAATCGCTGGGTGCGCGATAGGGAACGGGCCTAGTGCTTGATTTGCTCCTCGCGATTTCATTCCCGGGGAATTCGATGGTTTGGGCAACGAAATCGCGACGATGAAATCGCTTTTCGCAGGAATGTGGACATAGTACGAGCGATCTCATGTCTTTGCAGATATTGCAACTAGGTGCACGAAAATGGGTAGAATTCGATTTCGAATGATACTACTTCTACTTACTTTACTCTCAGCATCCACCCCTGCTCATGTCGATGATGAAACACGAGTACAAAACTCATAATTTGCCCATTTTCAACAACTCAGCTTCTCACAAGCTTACAAGTTTTCAACAAATTTTCGCCTTTGAATATGTAGGCTTATGAAAGCTAACAGCTGCAATAAGGACGGTCCTCACTGAATTTTTGGCGGAATGATGACGAGGAGTTTTGTAGAGCTTTCCAAAAATTCACCTTCTTGAAAAAAAAATAACGCACAGCACTGTAAAGAAGCTGAATATACAAATAAAACCATTTTATGTCAAAGCATAAACACAAGCAAAAATATCTCTGCGTCTATGCGGAGGCGGAACTTGAGGAACCTCAAAAACGATATAGCATATTTGATTTGCAAAAGCAGATACTTGAATACTAAAATCACCTTGGAAAAAAAAGACACTTCAAAGAACGAACCAGTCTAGATCATTTAAGGAAACAGAGAACGGTTCACGACGTTCATTATTACAAAAAAGAGCGTCAGAACTCAAAATTTCTCTGTTCAAATATCGCAAATGAGATACTTCTTCTGTAAACAGAAAGCTGAAACATTAATGCCTATCTTCAAAACCCCCTACTCAGAGAGAAGTTGAACGCGAGTTGAGGGAGAGAGCAAAAGAGATGTTTTGTAGCAGGACGCATGAGGAAAGGTTTGTTGTCTTCAAAGGAGAATTGGTTCCTGTTAATACAAACTCTCATGGTCGTTGGTGAGTAAATTGAGCCACTCGCATTATTTTTATTTCTTTATCACCTGACAATGTTTTTACTAATGAAACTTGGTTGTCGCTCGAAGTGAGCGATGCTGAAATTCTTTCTGGTCTACCGTATGTGATCTTCTGTTGTGATCGCGCGAAAGAAGGGAGGCAGTTTATCAAGACTATGAAGTCGAAAGCTTCAGATAAATCGAAATATATTACATCCACTTCTTTACCATCAAATACAGCCTTGATCCAGTCATGGGTACAGTCGATCAGCTGTGTTACAGTGGATGCACCACTGATGAATCCATGTTGCTATTGAGGTATAAATTTGAATTTCTCAAAACAAGAGATTTGTCACGGAGTATTTTTTCAAGGATTTACATGACACAGAATTTATACTTATAGGTCTGAACTCTGTCACAGATTGAGGTTTTGGAACTTTCGGGACCGCTGTAACGATAGCTTCTTTCCAGATCTGTAATATTTGCCCACATAGGAGACAAATATTGAAGATATGGGAAAGCGGTATAGAAAGTTCCTTGGCGCAGCGTTTGTAAACAATTTGTGGTATGCCATCAAAAGGCTCAAAAGTTGAGTGTTTTAGTCTTTTGAGGATACCTTCAACCACATAAGGCGTTATCGTGGGGTTAGAACATGTGTGGTTCAGAGATGGACCCAAGGTAATCGTATTAGAGTTGGTCGAAAGAAATGTACTTGATGAATATTCAGCTGAAGCTCGCTTTGTACTGATTAGTTAAGCAAATATTACCCAACGCGTCTTCCAAGGCACTACAATTCATGGTGTGCGTTTCACGATAGATGTAAGAAAAAAGATTTTGGAATGGTTAGGTGACGCTAGGCGCTTTTCGTGATTTGCCAAAAACTTTCTGAGATGAAAAGCAATATCCGAACACACTTTCCTATACAATGGACCAATTGTTGTAATGAGATGTGTTGAAAAGTCTTTTTTCTGTAAGAGAAGTGACTGCATGTGTCGGGGGTATCTCAGGTGTGCAATATTCTTGACTTCAAATGGAATACATCTTAACAAAACATTAACCATGGCGCAGCAAAACCTATAGTATACATCGGGTAGGTCGACATGAAAGTTGAACATTACTTGCCAGTCGATGCCACTTAGCTCACTTTTCATAGATTCAAAATCTATCTTGGAAAAAATTGGGTATAGGATG